GAACTTTGTTGGACAATCGCGGGTGGGAAACCAGTATCGGCAGGACCGAGAACTTTGTTGGACAATCGCGGGTGGGAAACCAGTATCGGCAGGACTGAGAACTTGGGAGCACTGAGAGCTGTGAGGCTCGAGGCTGGAGTGTCTGCATGAGCACTCTGGGAGCTGTCTTGACTGTACTGAGTTATTAACTGAATTATGACCTTTTGACTTTCCCAGTATAGATCTGTGTGGTCTGTGAACTATCACATCAGATTGTGAGCCCATCAAAGCAGTAAGATTGGTGTTAGGATGAGTAGAAAGAGGTATGGGACCGTGGAGGACATGCCTGACCTCACTGGAATTGATTTTGTGTGGCTGGTGCTGTGGGCAGGGACAGTTTCCCTCTGTGAAGTTAACAAAGTCTGAAACAGCACTCTCCATGTGGCCTTTGATTGTTTTACAGCCATGCTGCCTGTTCCTTCCTTGGGTTTTGTGGTCTCTACAGAGGCTAACTGCTAGGCTTTTCACCGAGGTACCTCTGGTGGGTCTGAACTATCAACTGTCAGCTTAGTAATCAAACTTGCTGCTGTCAAGTCAGTTCTGACTCCTGGCTCCTCCCCGAGTTCCCGAGGCTGTAGCTCTCCAACAGAGTGGACAGCCCAGCTGAGGGCAAACAGCCCATGTGACCAGGCCTGCTTAGACCAGAACCCCCACGCTGTTCTGTGTCTTCCCCTCAGTGAGCACCCAGGTGAGGTGCAGGGCCATCTCCCTAGCCAAGGCCTCCCAGGCTTCCGCACTTAGGACAATAGAGTAATAGAAAACTAAGCCCCTTGTGATGCCAAAGGCTCTCTGTCACCACTAACAGATGCATAACAGCCGGAGGAGGGAAGACGAAAAGGTTTTAGTCATGACCTTAAGAGAGAAACACGGGCTTTCCCTTAATCCAGCACAGTTTCCAAACTAAAGCCCCTCTGTTGCCCTTTGCCACCGCTGGGTGGAATGCCCTTTAAACCACAACATGGAAATTGCACCAGGGTCTCTGGAATATTGGTGAGAGGGGTACAACCAGCCCCAGACTCGGCCACTGACCTCAACTCTGGACGAGAGACGATACTGCACTAGCTCCTCCCATTCCACTGTCGTGCTCAACCCAAATAAGGCCCCACCGTCTTCAAGACAGACAATCGATGCACACCCATGTTTATCGCAGCTTTGTTCGCAACAGCAAAGAGCTGGAAACAACCCAAGTGTCCACCAACAAATGAATGGATAGAGAAGCTCTGGTATATTCACACAATGGAATACTATGCAGGTTTGAAACAAGGCACTCATGAAATATTATGCAAAATTGATGACCTTGGAGGACATTATGCTAAGTGAAGTATCTCAGCCATAAAAGGACAAATATTTCATAGGGCCACTGTTGTAAAATGAGACTGGCAGCGGGGTTGAGGGAAGACAGAAAAGGAGGGGAGGAATGATGCAGCATTGAAACAGATGAGGGAGAAAACTGCTTAAAAAGGATATGTGATTAGTTATTAGTGTCATGACAGCAGTCCAGAGTGAAGGCTGCATAGTGGAGTGGACTTGGGGGGAGGGATTGTAAAACAATGAAAAAATTTTTCTTTTACTTTTCAGAGAAGAGAGAATTGGGGGAGGGAGGGGTGGACAGGGAGAAAAGTGCAACAATGAATGAATGGAAATCCTCAGTCTGTAAGCTTTCATTAGAATTAATAATATTTTTTTTAAGGCAGCCCTTTCCTGACTCTGTGAGACAGAGAACTCCCCCAGGTATCCAGGCCTGTTCTCGCCAGAACCCCATTGCCTTGTCTCGCATCCACCAAGTGGCCGAAGGGCTCAAACTGAGGACCCCTTAGTTAGCAGCCACGCTGTGCAACCCCTGCACCACCAGGTCTCCTTACAGGATGAGGACCACTTGTCTTCTTTTCACTCCTTGAAGCCCTTCCCTCCCTCCTGCAGGCTGCAGGCCGCCCACCCGGTGAGGGTCCCTGGGTTTGCTGGAGGGGAGGGCGTCACACACTCACCCCTGCGGCCCCTGGGTTTGCTGGAGGGGAGCGAGGGAGCACCACACAGAGGAAACGCCCTGCGGAGCACTGGGGGCTGCAGCGCAGAGGCAGCTGCTCCACAGACTGTCCACATTCTTCATGTGCTTAAGAGCCTTTCATTTAAGCAGCAGGCCAAAGGTCAGCCTCCCAGCCCTCCCACCCCGGAGTTAAGGAGGTGGCTTCAAAGCCCACCGCCTCTGGGTCTCTAGTCCCTGGCCAGGCAGGCAGGCAGGATGGAGTGCCAGGCGCTGGCCCCGCGACACAGCCTCTGGAGAAAAATGGAGCGTCACGGCTTCACTTAAGTGGATTATTTGTCTTCAGCGGCTTGGTAAATTATATTAAAATAGCAATTTAATAAATAAAAAATTCATATCACAAATGGAAAATGGGCTTCTGCTTTAATGAAGCTTAACCTAGACAATAAATATGGCCGTCCAAGTGCAGGGTGTGAACAGGACATGAATCCCAGCCAGCGTCCGTGGCTCTTCAGGGCTGAGGAGCGGGCGCTCCTGAGTGACAGCGGATTCAGGGCAGCTGGAAGAACCCAGCTCTGGGACAGGGAGACCACACCTCATGTGACCCCAGGGTGTTCTCAGGAGGGGCTGGGCCCTGGGGAAGGACGTCATGAAAAAGAGGAAGACCCTCACCAGGACGGGACAGTGACAGCAACAACGGCCAGCAGAGGCGGCCTCAGGACGCACGGGGTGAGGCAGGGCGCTGAGGTGGAACTGAATGGCCAGCACCTAACAGCAACGACACCCATGTGGCTCCAATCTGCACCAACCACAGAGTTCAAAGAAGGACCAGCACCCCTGAAATATCTATGAGATTCAGTGAACCCCAGGAACTGATGACTCAGGAGCCGGATGCTGGGCCCTGCCACCCACCAGGTTGAACCCCACATGCTAGACCGACTCCCTGAAGATGAGGGTCTGAGCAGAGAGAGGAAGGGCTGGGAGACCTTCGGGGCCAGGCGACAGGCTCCAGACCAAGCAGGGGCCTCCTGTGCCCCCGCCCCCATGTGCTCGTTCACAGAGGAAGCACTCAGCTCCCTTCACCATGGTCTCCGGATTCCGATGGATGATGCTACGGATCTGATTAATCTAATAAAGGGCATCTTGGCAAATTTCCACTCCGCTCACTTCCCTGTCACCATCGTAAGCACTAATCAAGGCACAGCAGCTCAGATGGCGTCTGTGACGGCAACTGCACTGGCCAGGCGTGGGTCACACCACTGTCCCCATAGGAACATTCTCAGCACCCGGGAAGGAAGGGAGTTCCTCGAGGCAGCCAGCCTGCGGACAGAATCTATGTTGTCCCACAGACCCCGAAGCTGATTCAGCAGACGCTCACCCACCCACGGACCGCGTGATCCTTCTGCAGGGCCCCAGGAAGCCTCAAAGGCAGGGGGGCACGAGTTCAGGTCCCCCAGTGCTGAAAAGATGCCAACTGCCCCCAGCTGGGTTTAGAACATCAATGTGTTTCTAGTAAAACCCCGACAAGTGTTTTCGGCAGAGTTGGGGGGAAAGAAAATATTCAAGCCTCCTGCCATCAAGCGTATCCTGACTCAGCAACCCGACGGGGCCGAGCAGAAGTGTCCCGCACGGTCTCGAGGGCTGTGAAACGCCATCGAGGCACACAGCCTCACCCATT